AAAAAAAAAAAGAAAGTTTTATTGAAAGCAGTGCCAGGATTGGAGAAAAGTGTAGCAGAATCCTGTGTTAGTTGGGTTTTATTTTTAAATACTGACATTTTGTTCATCAAGATTTTTTTGTAATATTTGATTTTTAAAAAAATAATTTTTCCTGTAGTCCCAGCTACTTAGGAGGCTGAGGCAAGAGAACTGCTTAAGCCCAAGAGTTGGAGGTTGTTGTGAACTGTGATGCCATGGCACTCTACTGAGTGCGACACAGTGAGACTCTGTCTTAAAAATATTTTTAAATAATTTTGATTTAATTTTTTTTAACTTTAAACTCAGGTTTTTTTTTTTTTTCAAGATAACCATTTCTCAAGACTTGAATTATAGAGGGGCGCCTGTGGCTCAGTGAGTAGGGCACCAGCCCCATATACTGAGGGTGGCAGGTTCAAACCTGGCCCCCTTCGAACAAACTGCAGCAACAACAAGAACAGCCGGGTGTTGTGGTAGGCACCTATAGTCCCAGCTACTCGGGAGGCTGAGGCAAGAGAATCACCTCAGCCCAAGAGCAGGAGGTTGCAGAGAGCTGTGACATCACGGCACTCTACCGAAGGCAACACAGTGAGACTTTGTCTATTAAAAAAAAAAAAGGGAGAGAAAATAAAGAAAAGGAGAGAAAGAAAAAAAAGACTAGCATTATCCTTTGGTATGGAGCAGACGTGCTCTGCACTTATTTCCAATCTATCACAGAGGATATGAAAAAGACACACTCAAGAGTTTAAATCAAGAGTTTAAAAAATTAGTAAGTTTTACTGCCTCATCAAGGATATTAAATGAAACTCTGACATTTTTTGTATGAGAAAATAATACCCAGATGTTTTACCTATCATTGCTCTTACATATCAATATAAATGTCAATGCAGTGAATAAGGCAAATAATATTTTAGAATTATGATGAAAATAATTTCAACCCCTGAGACTCCTCCTTGAAAGAGTCTTGGGAAACCCAGGGTTTATAGATCATACTTTGTGAACTACTGCCTTAAAGACTAAAGCTTTAGATTATATCAAAAGCAGGCTTGGTGCCTGTAGCTCACTGGCCACATACACTGAGGCAGGGGGTTTTGAACCTGGCCCAGGCCTGCTAAACAACAATGACAACTGCAATAAAAAAATAGCCGGAGCATTGTGGTGCGCCACCTACTTGGGAGGCTGAGGCAAGAGAATCATTTGATCCCAAGAGTTTGAGGATGCTGTGAGCTGTAACATCATGGCACTCTACTGAGGGTGACACAGTGAGACTTTGTCTCAAAAAAACAAAAAAATAAAATATATCAAAAGCCTTGTCAATGATAAGGTAAGATCCTCAGTCAGATGGGAGCAACATAATTATGACTAACCTCAATATTAAGTCTTGCAAAAACAAGTGAAGCAAACTGATCCATCCCTCATAAAAATAGTTTTAAGCCATCAGGAAATCTCTGAAGCTAGAGATAAGGTATGAAGAAGATGTAAAAGAATCTCAATGACATAAACCATGGCCATTTCAGGACCACTAACTAGAGAAACACCACTGTACCCATCCCTTACCTTCATCCCTCACCTCCCCTGCCTCCCATGTAAACAAGGACAGCAGAAGCAGGAGAAACGAGCCAAACACCAAGACCCGGAGGCCAGCCTGCTCCATGCTGAAGTTCCCTTCCACTACTTCCAGCATTCTGCCTGGGGCAAACTGGAAACCACTGTTGGTCTCAGTCTCCTCTGCATGTAACATACCTTCCCCATACAGTTGCTATAAGGCATACACGAGATGGTGACATTTAAAGCATTTAGCACAGAAACTGAAAGAATAAGTATGTGGTAAGTGCCTCTCATTAAACCTAAGTAACACATTTCTATGCTGTCCCACTGCCCAGTGTTCAGTAACTTTTTCCTACACATATAAATGCCTAGCCCAGTGTCCTACCAGTGTTAGGGGTAGAGTAAGGGAAGCATGTCGAGACCTGTCACTCCTTCCACACTGATGTGGAAGTCATGGCTCTCTCACCAACAATTCACAGAGAAATCTGATGCTTCAATATGAAAACATATATGTAAATGCACAAATTATTATGTAAAAATGAAAACAGTTCTTATATGACAGAATTATGTTTTAAATTTTCTTAAAATAATTTTCACTGCTGTTGAAAACAAAGAAATCATTTTTAAAAAGTAGACTAGCAAAATGTTTAACCCACCAAGAGAAAAACACATTAAATAGCAAACCTGCTACTGTTTGCTAACAGATCTCTGTGGTAGACAGAATAATGCCCTTGCCCCAACAATATCCTCATCCTCATCCTCAGAAGCTATGAAAATAATACATCACATGGTAAAGGGACTTTACAGATGTAATTACATTAAGGACCTTGAGATAGGGAAATTATCCTGGTAGGCCCAATGTAAGGACTACAAAGATCCTTGTTAATAAAAGACAAGGCAAAAGAGGTAAGAAAAGACGTGACTTCAGAAGAAAAGGTACAGAGAAAAGAACAGCAGAGAAAGATACAACATTTCTGGCTCTGGAGACAGAAGAGGGGGCCATGTGGCAAGGAATGTGGGCGGCCTCCAGAAGCTGAAAAGTCCAGGAAACATTCTTTCCTATGGCCCAGTAACACTCCTAATAGACTCCTGAAATACAGAATACCAATATGATAAATTCATGTTGTTTAAGCCACTAAAGTTGTGGTAGTTTGTTATAGCAGCAAATAGAAAACTAATGCAGTGGCAAAGGTTATCTGACCACCTTTGGTACGTTTTAGTGCACAACAGAACAAGTATCCAGGTTACCAAGGTGAGGACTAACAACTCTGATGGCTTTACTAAGCTCCCCAATGCAGCTTCTGGTCATTGAAACACCACAAAACAAGAGATTCACCATTAACAACCACCTTCACCACTGAAGATTTGGATTTAAGAGGCCCAGAACACGAGAATATCCTTATTTACCAAGTCCCATTGGTGGCTCTACTAGAAATAATCTGGTCCATACCTTGAGAGACATTCATTTCTACATGTAAGGAGCTTACAATTTACGTGCAGAGTAAATACAATTCCCGATCTCTAGTAGATAAATATACATGCATTCTTTCAGAGATAAGTCAATGGCCAGGGGAGGAAAGAGGAAAAGTTAGAAATATGTCCTAGAACACATACATGTTTTGGTATGCTTATGTCAATAAAAACTAGTTTCATTGCCCTTTCCTATGTGGCTGGTGCTTTAAGACTCTGAAGCAGGGACAGCAGAATCATGGCAACCCTGCAGACCTCCAGTGGAAAAGCTGAGCACATGCCCAAGCCAGAACCATCCTGGCCTCCCACCTGCCTCACCTGTTTCTTTATGAGGTGGTGATGTGCTGGCCCAGGGCATGTCATCTTCAAACTGAACCCAGCTGCTGATGGCTGAAGCCAGATCAGGTAGGGGCTGCTCAGGGGTCCCAGGTAGAGAAGCTGCTTCAGAGATAAGGCCCATCTTTTCAGAGGAGTCATCCTGCTCCGAGGGGGAAAGGTCCTGAGAGCCCCCATCCACCACGTGGTTCTCCGCAGAGGAGTTCTCAGACTGGTCTGAGGAAGATGACAATGCTGGGAGGTGCTCTTCGGTACCCCCTGGAACAGAAACCAAACACAGCCATCATGTGAGGAAGGCTACCCTGTAGAACTATCTCATGGAGGCAAAAACTAAATATAGGCAAAGGATGACTGCAGGACTCACCATGACGGTGAGTGGGGGAGAAGAAACAGCCACACCCACACCACATATAGTCAAACAGCATATTTGACTATATGCTAAGGGACTATTTCCTTGATCATGTATAAAAGCTATAATCTCAGCAGGTCTCCAGCTAGTATCCAGGCAGGTTGAGACTAAGCTCCTTCTTCACTATTCTTATCCCAGCAGCTGCTTCAGCACTTAAGGATGGGGGGTGGGGGGGGGAGTTCCACAAATGAATGTGGACCTATAGAGGTCAAAAACAAGTTGACTGAGACAAGTGAAAGGCAATGGTGGGGACTGTGGCCAAATGGGACAGCTTCTGTCTAATGGCATGCAAACTCAATTTCAAACTCTATGCAGTCCAAGCTACACACAGCCACTGACCACCAGGCGCAAACCCTGCACTAATGACCAGCTGAATGAACCAACCAACACAGCAGTGTTTAATGTTTAAACCAGGAGTCCTCAAACTATGGCCCGCGGACCACATGCAGCCCACCTAGGACATTTATCTAGCCCGCCAGGTGTTTCTGCCACCACTGCCTGTCCTGCCTAGCAGCCAACTCATCCTGGGGCCCACAGTCCAGCCCTCCAGTGGTCTAAGGGACAGCGAACTGGCCCCCTGATTAAAAGTTTGAGGACTCCTGGCTTAAACCAACACAGAGGCTCTGCTTGTAGCACCATAGGCAATGTATCTGACCTAGAACATTTAACAGTCTTCAAAAAGTTCTTTAGGGGGAAAAAAAAAAAATATATATATATACATATATATATATATCCTGATTATGGTGGTGTATGTACAGACCTGGATGTATGTTCAAATTCATTAATTATATACCCAAAGTAGTCAATTTTACTGTATCAAAACTTTAAAAATCAAAGAACATGAAAATCCTCTTTCCCCTCAGTAGCCAAATGAACTGGTTCACCTGCTTGTAATCAAATCCCCTAGACTGTCCAAGAAAAAAAGGTGAGCTACATCTGTAATTTCCTATGTAGTGAGGCCCAGCACCGTGGCTCATGCCTATAATCTTAGCACTCTGGGAGGCCAAGTTGGGTGGATCGCTTGAGCTCAGACTGAGCAAGAGTGAGACCCCGTCTCTAAAAATAGCCAGGTGCTGTGTAGGTTTCTGAGGCAACAGGTTCACTGGAGTCCAGAGTTTGAGGGTGCTGTGAGCTGTTAATGCCATGGCACTCTACTAAGGAAGATAAACTGACACTGTCTCAAATTAATTAACTAATTAATTAATTAGTTTCCTAGTAGCCACATTTTAAAAAGTGAAAATAAATAGGAGAAAGTGTTTTTAATAATACATATTTCAGGCAGCGCCCGTGGCTCAGTGGGTAGGGCACCAGCCACACACACCGAGGCTGGCGGGATCGAACCCAGTCCAGGCCAGCTAAAGCAACAATGACAACTGCAACAAAAAAATAGCCGGACGTTATAGCGGGCACCTGTGGTCCCAGCTACTCGGGAGGCTGAGGCAAGAGAATTGCTTAAGCCCAGGAGTTTAAGGTTGCTGTGAGCTGTGACACCATGGCACTCTCTACCAAGGTTGACATAGTGAGACTCTGTCTCAAAAAAAAAAAAAAATACATATTTCAACTTAGTATATAATCAATGTAAAAACTATTGATGAGATACTTAACTTAAAAAAAATACAGGCCTTTGAAATTGAGTGTAGGTATGTTACAGTTACAGCACCTCTCAGCTCAGACTTGTCACAGTTCAGGGGCTCAGTGGCCACATGGCTGCCACACTGGACTACACAGCGCTAGGCTCATACTTTCAAGGTGTTGTAAATGAAAGGGGGATGATTTCAGTTGGCACTGGCAGCTGCAACAGAACAGAACCAACTGAAATGGTTCTGTAAATACCTCCCAGGCCCTCCCTTGACCTTCATCCCTGAGCTCAGTGGAAGTCATCTTCATTATGTCAAGTATGACAGACTAAGCTCTTTTCATATGCCAGGCACTGTGCTAAGCACTCTCTGTGTTAATTCTCTTAATCCTCACAACAACCTGTATGATAGATACTGTAATTATCCCTATTCTATAGATATGAAAGTAGGCATTAAATAAATAATCTACCCAAGGGCACATCACTCATGCATGGTGGATCCAGAATTTGCACTCAAGCAATTTGGCTCCAGAGCCTGTCACTCTTTATCAACTACTCTTTTAAAAAGCTGAGAGTAGGGCGGTGCCTGTGGCTCAAGGAGTAGGGCGCTGGGCCCCACATGCCGAGGGTGGCAGGTTCAAACCCAGCCCTGGCCAAAAAACTGCAAAAAAATAAAATAAAAAAAGCTGAGAGTAAAAGAAGCTTTATAAATATTTAGTTTTTGTTTCTTAGAAGAAAAAAGTTAGTACTTCTGGCGTTTCCAGCCTCCCTTTTAGGGTCCTAAGGTTCCTAAGATGTCTCCTCTGGCTTCTCAGTGGAAGAATCCATGCATCTCAGGGAAGTGACAAACTGATTCCTCCTTCTATATGAAGATCTCACCCAAAGAAGACTTCAGCAGAAGCCATAAAAGGCATGGCTCTCTGCCAATCTCTTCACTTTAGGATATGAAAGCATTCCTTACCCTTGGAAGGGGTGGCAAAGAGTGGCTCTTCATTGAAGGAGACCCACTCTGACTGATGGGTTGCAATCACATGGTCCAAAGTCGTCATGCTAGGAAGGCACTGGTCATCTTCACACTGCCAACCTCAGGTGGACCCCAGAATGATGTCTGGGGGTTAAGGTAAGGTAGCAGAGCAGAATTGGCCTGAAGGCCTGTAACAAAGGTCTTGCCAAGAGCAGCACTCAGAATGTAGACAGATTAGGTCCTCTTTCTTTTGGTTAATCTGTCAAGCAGAAATCTGTTTAAAAAAAAAAAAGGTAGAAAGGATAATCATCCCATTATACCTAACCTACCCATGTCTAAGGCTTTCAGCACTACCCGCAGGGGGCCTGAGGTTGTTTCCAGCTTCCTAACCTTTTATGATCCTGTTTTGCCTCCACCTTTTATAGTGAAATATTTGTGTTCAGCATCAAGAGGTCTGGGTAAGATGTCATATCAAACTTCTAAATAATTACACACATTTCAGCAATTAGCTTCCCTAATTTTTCCCAATTATTATATTTTAGAAATGTTGCCACCTATAATATAGTGCTATCATTGTAAAACAATATTAAAACTTTGCAAAATACTTTCACTTTCTCCTACCAGATGGTGAAATAAAAACATGTTCTTTTTATTACAAATCAGTGTAGTTTCTTGCCTTAGGCAGGTAACTCTTTTAAGGCCTGATTTAAATCTTTGGCAGAAACCCAACACTCTCCAGATGGTATCTCATCTCCAAGCATGATTTACCAATC